TGCTTTTAATTATTCCAACAAAATTTAATACTACATAGGTTTATTAATTTCTGTATCGACGTAAAAAACCTGTTATGCCTGTAATTTTTGATTAATTATCTGTTATTTATAGTATTTTTAATTGCTTGTCTGTTATCTTGATAGTACTAAACAAAATATTAATACGCAACAACGTTTTGAAATGTATGACATATTACTGTTTAGTTTTGCCCAAGGTTGTTTATCAAATAAGACAAATTCCTTACGAAACTTGATTCCAAAAATAATATACCTATCTTACCTCAATATCCGGTAATTCTCGACTCAACAATTTAGCCATGATTTTAATTTTAAACTTTTTATAACCTCAAAATATTTTTAAATATTAATACGTTTGTGGCCTATCGATGCAGTGGACTGCTCACTGGCAGCGCCACAAAACGACTAAATAGAGTAATCGTAAAACGATGTGAATGTAATCTTTTGTTCGATGACCAATATACATTGATCTCTATAAATAGTATAATTACTACGCACTGTATGGACGTTGTTATGAAGTTCTTTTATTGCAATCTACAAACAATTTGTTACAAATTCCTCATCTTACTAATATTGTAAAGGCAAATATTCGGATAGTTGTTTGAAGGTAAGAACGGCTGCATCGATCTCGCTGAAATTTGGCATAAATGTAGAACATAGCCTAGAAAATCACATAGGCTATTAATTACATTTTTTTTAATCCGCGGACGGAGGCACAGGCGACAGCTTACATATTAATAAATTGAACGTTAATAACTTTAGGTATTTTGAAGTAAGTTATAGTAATTCAGTTGAACCTGAATAAGCAAGTCATTGTCCGGATGAGGTCTCATAAGTGAGAAACTCGTTTTAGGCGAGCGAGAAAAATATCGTGGTTCTGTGCTCTCGCTTATCCAGTTTCGACTGTATTTTTTTTGTCAATATAACTCACAGATAATATTAGGTTATCATAAGTTTACATTTTGTTGTGTAAGTGTTATTAATGAAGATTGTGTTGATAAATATTGTTACTAAGGCGATTATCAAACGATATGATTCTTGCCGAATCACTAAAAAAATCTTGAATGGCGTTTGTCATCAATGATAAGGTGGTATTGAATACCATGGTTATCGCCACCTATTGATATAGCTTAAGACTCAGAGAGGGATGAGAGTTGGTACCATTTAAACGGTCTTATTTGAAGCAGTTTTTATATCTATTTCACATTTACATTTCCTTAAGGGGGGGGGGGCTGCAACGTCTGTGGCCCCTGGCGATGCCCGTGTTGAATACTATAGTAAAAGAAATTCTTCTTGGACCTTGTTTTGTGGAAAGAATGAAGTTAATATTCATGTCTCAAATATAAAAAAAGAGTGGGTGGGGAAAAAAAGTGGGTAGTTCTAAGTGTAAACATCTTATATTTTGCTCCGTCATAAAAGTTGCTTTTAAAAATATTTTTACGTTATATTAAATGATAAAAAGTAGTGTAATGTGATTAGTAATCCCGTGTGCCGTGTGCACTATATTCAATAAAATTCTCCGCATATCATACATAAACTATGGATATCTACAATAAGTTGAGTGAGTCGATGAACAAATTAGAAACACTATTCCAGTCTCGTATGACTCAATATGAGACGGAACTGATGATGGCTGCTTCGGGTGATTCGCAGAGTGTTCACAAGACTATAGCTGGTCTGTCACGGGATTTCATGGAGTTCCGTCACCTCATCTGGCAAACGGTGAGCACGCTCAAGACCCAAATGGA